AATGTGTGTAAAATTATGTGCAATATGTTTATATTTCCATTTGGCATGAAGCCAATAAAACTGGCATCTTTTGCTTAATTATCCCACTCACTGTCAGTGGCATTATATAGCTTTGTATATTATACTGTATATCACACAAACAAAATATGAGAAAAACAAAAAATTTCATGTGCAAATCCATGGTTAAATGGTTAAATAGCAAACGTATCGTTTGCAACCCTAACAATAACTTGTCTGGTGTAGTGACAGCACTGTTTGTCCTACTTAACAGAGAGATAGCCTAAGGTTAACATAGCTGGGTCAGACATCATTCACATATCAACACAGTCGTTTGACACTTTCTATAGAGCTACAATGATGGTCTATTTATGTAATATTTGTTTGTAGCCCTCTCGCAACCATGGTGACGGATGGAGTAAATGATGGGAAACTTGCCCACTGGACAAGTAGAAAGGGTCTTGGGTGGTGTGTGTGCGTGCGTGCGTGCGTGCATGCCTGCATGTGCGTGCGTGTGTGTGTGTGCATGTGAGTGTTTTCGTCCAGCCTCCCCCATAGGCCATTGTCAAAAGAGTACAAGATTGTCTTGGTCAATGATTTGCCCTCCTACACATACGCCTCATGATTGGCCAGACTTGACAGGAACACAGCTTTCCTAGCCAATAAGCTGAGGGCCTGGAAGGGTCCTGCCCCTGGACCAAAATAACCCAGTAAATACACTGCGGGCACTATGAGAACTGGAGCGGGCCCTCTGGTGAATGCTTTGTGTACAAACAAGGGATGCTTGTCAGTTGGGTACTGCTGAACCATGCTAGCTTGTGTTATCCTCTGTAGTGATAGGCACAACTAGCTGAGTGGCACTTTGATACCAATGTTTGTTTTTCTGCATTCGCAGCTATAGGATGGAGGGGCATTTAGGAGAACAAGGATGGAGGGGTATTTATAGTTTTATTATAGGGATGGAAGAATGAGGCCTGAGACAAAGTTTTATTAACATGACAATACTCCACTTCCCAGTACCCAATATCAATCGAACACGCTGCTGCACATAACGGAAATTCTGCATGTTTGCTGTGTACATATTGTTATTTGTGACAACCCGAGGCAGATGCAGATTGATTAGCTGATTGATTTTAAAGCTGGTCACTCTATATCCTAGTTTAATGAGTTGATCTTACAGTGAGATCTAACAAGGCGGGATTGTGTAAGTGATAGGTGCAGTTTTTTGGCCCAGAAACGTATAAGCCGGAGTCCTGCCACCTCACAGGTATGACAGACAAAACATAAACATCACTGATTGCTTACTTTAAAAAGTTTTATCCTCTAAAAAATGTATCATATTAACCCAAGAAAACAAACATCCTTATTTTGGACCTGTCCATGTCTGAAGTGAAAGCATTTTTCTATTATACATGATTTCTCCACTAGGAGGCTCCTTTTAAAGGTCCTGTCAGTCAGTAGTCCTCATCATACCTCCTGTTGTTTCTGTAGTTGGTTGTCTGTCTGTTGTTGGAGAGATGTGCTCTGTGTTATGTATTTTTGTGTCTGTTTGAGACACTAATACATAATAATAACTAATACATATTACATACATACATACAACATTAGTGCACAAGCATGGAGGAGAGGAGAGGGAGGAGTGATTCATAATGTGACTACTGTTTCTTGTAAACAAATCTTATAGCACTTTTTTTCAGAGGAAGTTTTATTTTAATCTGAACTCACCAGCCTGTCACAGGGCTTGTGCAGAACAGCCAGTCACTGGGAAGTAAACAGCTCCCCCCTTCAGTTGAAAAGTATGGAACTGACAGCTCAGGATTTTCATCAGTGAGCGTTAAAAGTATATATAATGCAACCAGATGGAACGAAACCCTTGGATAACCTGCATACAGGTGTGAGCATTCATGTGTGATTATAGCCCTGGATTCACAACGTTTCACTGAATGATGTGCTGACAGCAATGTAACGCTATTCTATATTGCTTTAATAGTAAAAGTTACAAAACTGTGTGTTTTCTCTCTCTGTGCTGTAACGTCTCAAATGTTTTAAAATAATCTATTTTTTAATTGGAAGACTGTTTTCGGCGTCAGTTATTAGATATCTGCTATGATTCAGCACTCTGTGGCTGGATCACCTAGATATTTTTTTTATTGCATCTTTTTTTTGTAGAATTCCTACACCCTTTAATTCATCTAATAACAATGCAGTTACTGGGACTTTCAGTAAATGATAACAAAACTATTTTATTATTGTGGGATGTGCCTTTTCATTATGATGAGGCATAATGAGTGTGTGACAACTAACAAAACAAAACTAACTTCCAAAAAAAGAAAAAAATGAGTGGACACAGATGATCTATGACAATGAATATGGTGAATATTTCTGTCCTCAGGACTGCGCTTGCAGGCTTGTTAAATCTTATCCATATAAGCACTCAGATTTGTGTGTGCATTGGCAGTGAGGGTGTCAGGATGATAGTCTGTGGGACTGTAATTAAAGAAGTAAATATGCTGATTCACTGACCTGACAGACAAAATAAGGAATTGCCTCCAGGGTTTGTGTGTGTTAATGCAAGTACATTTGTTGGTGGTACTGTATGCAAATGCTGTGCACTGCTTTAAGGAAGGAGGCTGGACTGAAGGAGGAGTTCACCATTAGAGAAAAAGAGAGAGGGAGAAGAGTTTACTGGACACAGGGCTCTCCTTGTTGTTGCCCCAGACCACGGCATTCAGGCTAATTTAAGGGAAGAGGAGGAGGAGGAGGAGGAGGAGGAATAGGAAGCTGAGCTGGTAGTTTGAGCGAGGCAGGAAGGTGGTGACTAATAGTCAATGTCACTCAGCTTACTGTAAATCAGCTGGTGGAGGGAGGAGTAACGGCACAACCAGTGAACCGGTATATGTATGCAGTAGCTGCTCCGTCTCTGTCAGAGATAGTGTGTATTAACACGTGGAGGAGCAGATATCTCTTGGATACACTATGTTGTCTTTGGGATAGTTGGAGAGTTGCTGGTAAGAAAAAGTTCATACATACTGTCCTATATGCATCAGTATCAGTGTCTCTCACTGTCTGGCTTGGACACTTGTCAGTCTGAGCTTCATTCATGCTGATTTGCCGTTGAACCAGAGATCAAACTGTAAAATGTCTGATTGTATTTTGTGTGAAGTGTTTTTAGTGTCATGCAGTAAATAAATGCAGTAGCGGCAGAACAAGCATGGGTTAAATTGCTGTCAACAGTAAAGTGATTTATACGTATTTTTACAGTTTGACCTTTCAAATATAGAAATTGGATCTAGAGTCGTTACTGCACTGTTTAGCAATGCATGATTGGTTATGTGCAGCTAAGTGGCGGCACGGAGATGGTACTGATTGTGTGGCAGTCTGGTGGGGAGACAATGAAAGTTGCTACATGAATTACAACAGTTTGTTTGTATGCCAAATGGAACCAAAATAGTAAACTGCGGTCAGAGTGTGGAGAGATCTCTTGAGTTCGGAGGCGTGTTGTGCCACACATGCACCATCACAGGTTGACTAGACACGTATCTCAAGATCTGATCATGAATATCTCTATGCGCATGTGTTTGTGTTGCTACATGTTCTGTGTATGACTTGTGTGTGTACTATATGGTCTTGTATACGTCTAACCAGATTGGTTAGACTGGGAATAGCAATTGCTTTACTTTTTTGTTTTTCTTCAAGCATTTTTCAAGCATTGTTCAATGTTAAATGGCTGTCAATATCAAAACAAGCGAATATTTACGCCTAAAGGCCGCCTCAGTCCTGGAGGCTGTGGTATGACAAACAGCTTTTGTTCTTTCCCTGGGTTGCCTGCAGAGGAAGTTGCTTCACCCTTGACAAAACTAGGAGTTGTGAAAACTGATAGAAGGGAAGGGGAAGTGATGCATTGTGGTAGTTATTGATGATGTGGGTCTATTGTCTTTCCTCTATCTCAGTGTGTGTACTGTGATTAGATATGGCTGAAAGTGTGTTTGTGCTGATAACCTGTTGTTGTCCTTTCCTCAGTGCAGTAGTTTTACATCACAATCTTCTCTATGATCTGTGAAGCTGTGACCTGAGGAAAGCAAGGCTGAGTGCACGACTCACTCTGAACAAGGGTCCCTCTTGGACAGCTATAAATAGACTGTGTGTAGAAGGTGACAGGCATTGTGATTCATGCATAGTGTTGATGAGTTGCGGTGATTCATTCAGATGACCTTCACAAAGTTGGTTACTGAGCAGAAATGCTCAATGATAGAAATTTATGTCAAAGGATTTCTAGAGACATTATGAAGTTTCTAATTTAACAACACTGACTGTTTGTTGTCATGCATCCAACCCTTGACCTCAACCATGATAAAAATGTGTAACAAAAGGAAGAGGATGCAGTGTTTTGAATATTCTACTTGTGCACAACTTAGTCTTTGTGTTCCAGAAACCCTTTTGGAGAACACACTTGAACTTCTACTCATTTGAAAAACAGAGCTGTTAAAACAGCTAAAACAAGATCTGAGAGTGCCAAAACCACTGACAGCAAACTTGTCACCATTATGGCCAAGAACCAGCCGCAGCAATTTACTGTATGAGAACACAGAGCAAAAGAATCAAATCAAAGGTGCCTCATATGATAGAATGACAGAGATGAACCGTGAAGCAGTGGCGAATATCCTCTCTCAGTGCATCTAACCATGGTCTGTTGCTTCCCTTACTTCCGCCGTGGAAATTCTTCTGTTTTATAAGTTCTTCAGTGCGTGTTGCACACCTGCTGCTTCCCCCTGTTGAACAGTCCACTGCTCCTCCGTTGCTTTTCCACAGCTACCACAGTCATATATTTTATGTTGCAGCTGTTCATTCCATCTGTCAGTTTTTGCAGTTTTACATTTTGTAACCATCTTTTTGTCTTTGTTTCTTTCTTTGTTTTTGTCTGTCTGTGTTTGTTGTTTTCCTTTTGTCTTTGCACCTTCATCGCATTTCTTCATCCCACTCTGCTACATGACCTGCCCATGCAGATTGCCATCCACTTTCTCCAGCCTCCGGACATGTAGTCAGCAGCGTAAGCAGAGCGTATTCCTCTTTGTGAACTCTTTTCCTCTCAAACAGGTAATTGTACATGTGTCGATATGGCTGTCTGTATGCATTTATGTGCTTTTGCGTATATGCTGCTGGTGAAATCCACCCATTCAGTGATTGTGGAGCTACTCTGCATTAACACAGCAGGCAATCCTGACTTACATAGAAATAGAAAATTATTTGTAGGTCCTTAAAGTGACATCATCCACTCTGGTGTGCATACACCCCCCCCCCCCCCCCCCCCCCCGTCTCCTATAACTAAATCCATAGTATCTGTTGTAATAAGTACAGATGTGAGGTGGTAACAGAAAGGTTTTTATATGTAAAGCAGCAATCGACTCAACAGGATACCAGTCCTGAGCGTTTGAACATGATCTGACTATCTGTTCGTCTGCCAGTCTGTCTGTCTGCATGTCCATGCAGAAGAGTTCGGCGTGTTCTGTCACTAAGGGATACAGCTGTTTGTGAGTGTGTGAGACCAAAGAGGAAGGGCTAAGGACCCCATACTTGCCATGCCAGCCCTGACACATAATCCTATCAACCTTACCCGTTGAGTGTATGTGCTGGCTGTGGTTTAGGAATATTGATACTGTAGGTCTGTATACATATTCTGAAAGAGTCTACTCTAAAGCCAACAGACGCTGTAGAGCAGTAATACACATGCAAAGTTACCCTTTATGTGCATGGCCCCTTCTCACCCCCACCTGCCCACACACACACACAAACACACACACACACACACACACACACACACACACATATGCATATACACAAAAAAAAAAAACACACCATTGCTCAGGGGAACAGGGTGTTCCTGAAAAGGAGAACAGAGAGCAGGGGGGGTTATTTTAGTCATTAGAGCAGGCAGACAGATAGCTTAATGCGGAAAGGGTGTGTGTTTGTGCAACTGCGCATGTTTCTGTGAAGTGATGGAAAGGCTGGTGAAGTGCACAGTGCAGTGTCACATTTGGAACCTTTTTCATATTCACAGGGTGTTGGACGAGATGTTTAATAGTTTGAAACTTTTACCAAGAATAACTTACACCTGCATCTCCTGCTCTGTTTCTAATGTTTTTGTGTGACAGGTTAAACTCACTTTGTGTTGTCCTCAGGCATTTGCATGACCTTGAGTGATTTCTCTCTACCCTCACGCTTTACAAAACCGCCTTGATCTTGATACAGAAATAAAAAATTCTTTTTGATTTTGCATTTGCCCCATAGCCTGTTGAAACTATGGCTGGAAATTGTCTTTGAATTTTATTATGCAGCTGTGCGTATGAATGCACACATGCATTTTTGTTAGAGGCCTCATGTGTCTCTGCGTGTATGTGCACACATTTAACTATTGGCTGCCGAAAAGGCCTCCCTTGGCATTGCAGAGTCACTTCTAAAAATACATACCCTACAAATTAACACCATGTCCCTGAGCACAGGTGCCATGGCCCCACACTGCCCCCAAGTGTGTATGTACTTGTGTGTGTGTTCATGTGTACTGATGTGTATGTGTCACACTTTGCACATGTGTGTATAGGAAGGAACTAAAGCTGTCACCACATTGTGCACAGCATGTTTAATGTATTTTAGAGTACACTTTGCACACCCCTGTGTATTGTATGCATATTGCTGGCACGTATGATTGTGACTAATCTGTGGCAGAATCCAGAGTTGACCTCTGACCCAGGCTTCCTCCGCTCTGCATCCTCCCACTGACTGTCAGTGTTTGAAGTGAAGGGGCTGTGACATCACAGCGTTGGACACACAATGGTTCGCTGTGTGCTGCTACTGCGTCACAGATGCCTGCTTACCCCAGTGGATGCAAGGCAATGGGAAGGCCCGTGTGGGAGATCATGCTGCCTGGTAGCAGTGTGTCACCATATGATATCAGGAAGTGATATCTTGTCAGTCTGTGTGCATTTGTTATAGCACATATTATGTATCATAGCTTACATACATACATACCATACATACACAAATACGTAGTGTTATGTAAACATTGCAGTCACCACATGTAGAGTCATGAGCAGTTTCCTTTTGCAGAGTTTGGGGCTTTAAAAGAGCATTAGAAATAGAAATTGGGCAACAAATTGCATGCAGTCTTTATTTGCACACATTAAACCTCTTTATCGCGTACCCAGAAATAGAAAGTAATCTGCCAAATTGGTCAAAATTGAGTCTCTCATAGTTTTGGAAGGATTTTAAAGATTATTTGCATACATTTTTACCCTTAACTGATGAATTTGGAATGTCTTTACCCATACATACCCATAAGTTAGAGAAGTGTTGTAACTTGACTCTGTTTAGCATTTTAAGCTGTCAGTAGTTCAGGATAGTTAAATTAGCACTTTGTGCCTTTGGGTTTAACATGTAAAGCTAAAAGAATTGCTTGGACCTGTGCCGTGGAACTTGATGTGGTTGGCTATACTCTATTTGGTGGAAGTCAAGTCAATGTTATTTTCATTTATATAGCCAAAATATATTGCCTCAAAGGACTTTACAATCTGTACAGCATACAGGTCTATCCTTAGACTCTCAAAGCATAGCGCACACGTCCTTCTCTGGCCGGCATTCCTACCTTGCCGATTGACTTTGCAGATGTAATCACCCCATTTGTCAGACTCTATAAATACACTGCGCAGCATTCCACCACTGTGTGTGTATGTGTGCCCACACTTGTTTGTTTGTCTGTGTAAGTGTTAAGCACCTTGAAAGACACCGTTACTACTGCTACTACATGAGGAGATATCCAAAGCTTCAGATGTTAGCAGCTGCTGTAGAAGTGGTTCCATCAGCATCAGTAGTTATGAGTGTTAGGAGAGCATGGAGTTAAGAGTATTTTTTGTTTGGTGGTTTGAGGATGCTAGTGTGGAGTCAGCCTTTCCTTGAGTCCAAGTTCTGGTACATGTTTGTGTTGGAATGTGTGTGTGTTTCAATGTGTATCTCTGCATGGGTGTGTGTTTTTCATGTGGGCCATCCAATGGGCACAAAGCGGGCAGTGTGTGCCCCCTCGGGTGCTGAAATGTACACTTCGGACAACAGGCGGCTTCAGTCCTTCTCAATAGGAGCTGCCCTTCTTATTGTACCTCACACACAATGAGCTTTTCTCTCTCTCTCTGTCTTTCTCTCTGTGTCTTTCTCTCTTTATGACCATATACAGACAGTGTTTCTGATGAGAGACTGGAGGAATCTGATTCTGACTGATGTGTCTGTCACTGCTTCTCTGTGTCTCATCTCACCACAAATCACAATCAGCAGAGACATTAGAATAGAGTGGAAACATGGCCCACAGTAGGTTAGGAGCCCAATCTCACCTTTTTGTAAGTCCAGACAAGTTTAGTCATGCAGGGAATAAACACAAGTCATTGCAGAAGGGGAACTATCACACACTCAGCGGGAGTCCCCACTGAGCATTTGCATGCATGTTTGTGACTGCTTTTACGTGAGAGAAGAGAGAGGATGAGATGTTGTGTAGGGGTTAAGGGGTTTTTCTCCACGGTCTTTTTGCTCACAAGATCACCCAAGAACAACAAGACCACATGACCTCTTCATCATCCACGAAGGCTTCCTCAATTTGCCACTTTATAGAGGAACAGAACTGAGGACAAGAGATTATTACTGCTTACATCATTCACCCCAGTGCCTGATTTTGACCAAGAGAGTAGATGAATGATGCCAGAGTGACATATAGTATGTGCAAATGTTAGTCTGGAGATGCTGCTGTTGCTGTACTTGTTTACACAATAGGGCCCTGGGTCAGTCATATTAAGTAGAACTAAATTTCATCCTGTATATCTGGTACTGTAACTTCTGGATGGCCTCTTCATATTAAAAAAGATCATGACAAGGTTCAGGCACCTATAGCTGTAGGATTTGTTACTGTTTTAGTTTAGTAAAGCAGAGGTGGATTTAAAAGGACCATTCAAATATGAAAACAGATTCATGTGATGTGAATCTAATTTCTGGAATAGATCTTAAATCAACCTAATTTTTTACATGACTGCATAACACAGACACAAACAATTGATAAATAACTAGATAGACATAATGACTTTTGTTTACTTATTCTGTTAACAGGTATTATCTGATATTACTTAATAACATGTTAGCATTAAAAAAAAAAATGTGTATTTTATTCAGGCAAAGTTCTTGGTGTGTAAAGACAGTATTAAACACATACATGTCAGAGGTTTGGTTCATTTTGATGTGTCACAACATTTTTATGAGCTACTAATAATTAGACAAGCCATATCGTCTGTTTTTTTTTAAATATGTTTATGTACAAGACAGACATCACGATTACACTGCACATCCTTTAAACAGCCTGATCTATTTTAGACGCAGTTATTTGTAGCCTCGTGCAGACAGAAGACACTGTGGCAGCGAATGCTCTAAGGCATACACACTTGGTAAATAGAATAAGCAGTCCGACAGTCTGTCTTTGAGCGGCTTGTAGAAAGTTGACGTGGTGCCTTTGATTCAGTAGCAGCACTGAGTGCATGTGGGTGGAAAACAGGTGGCGAATCCAGCTTGCCCAGTGGTGCATCAAGATAGATGTTTCAGGCATACCTGTAAGTGGAGTGGCACCAGAGTTGACAGGTGGGAACTGTTAGCCTAGCTCCAGCAAGCTTCAAACAACTCCAAAGCTTTTTGATTTTGATTTTATACAGAATCTTGTGTATCTGAAAGGCATAAAAAGAAGACAAGTTATTGTGGTTTTAGGCGCCGGTTCTCAACAGTGCATTTACTTCTTGACCAACAGCAGCTTGGGGCAGCGACTGCCATAACCATTAACATATTCATTCAGATATTTGTTTGTTCTTGATTCTCAGGGAATAGAAAGTTGAGCTATTAATAAGCTGGTGTATATTTCTTGAAATCACTTGGTTGGAGACCCTGCAATAGTTACTGTATTTAATGTGGGTTTCAGATCTTTTGATCAAACTTGTCATTATTATCTGACCATTGAATGAGTGGAGATATTGTCTTAAATAGCATGAACCTGTGTTGTCTTTTCATGATTATTATCTTGAATCGGGGGAAAGGGATGCCCAGACTACCATGAATTCCACTGTTAAACTAACACAAACAAAGACGATACATAAGACAAACTGAACGTAAATGTCAGCCAACCACAAAGACCCAGCCTAGTAAACATGTAAAAAAGAAGTGTATCACAACATTGCACACTTCCTCTTCTCCTCTCACATCTCTCACCTTATCACTAATGCATCCATTAGCAGCTAAAGACTGAACCAGGCGTTTGTATGAAGAGGTAGAAGTGTTTACACTGCATCCACTCTTGATATGTACTCTGCGTGTTTAGGAATTACTGCAGATCTGTGATGGAGAAGATAACTTTTTGCAGCAATGGGATCAAACTTTATCTTTACTTATTTATTTGCTTTTACCTTTTTTTTTTCTATTTTATCCCCTTCGTTTTCTTCTTCCTCTTGCCTAACTCACTTTTCCCCCACCCTTTTCTTTTCCTCCACAGCTTCCTCTACCTCTCGGGCTGGACTGCGGTGCACTGACGTCGGCTCGCCCTCCCCTGCCCCCTCGCCCCCCAGCAATGGCCTCACGCATCGGGCTGCGGATGCAGGTACAACACAACTACCCTTCACCGTCCGACATACAGTACATGCAAGCCTTATATTAGCTATTGACATCACAGTCTGTTTGTAGTGCTATTTGGTCCAGTGGATACAGGTGAGGAAGATATTCTGCTCAGTGCATGTCAGTGTGTCATTTATTTGAAGGGCATCTACATGCAGTAACAGTTTTTTTTTTCACTGATAAATTTGGCCATGCTGTTTGACCCTTGAATATTTTGATATATGTACTGTACAGACTTTTCTTATAAATTGATTTTATATATGTATGTGAGTCACCAGCTGTTATTTGCTGTGACGCTGCCGGCCCTTCATGTCCACTCTTAAAAAAGCAGTGGGACAGAGAAAAGCCAAAAGCCACATCACCCTCACAGTCAGTTTATAAGTCAGAATTCTTTAATGAGCATTCCTTTGTGTGTGTGTCTCCAGCTGATGCGAGACCAGCTGCAGCAAGAGGAGCAGCGTGAGCGGCAGCAGCAGCAACAGAATGCAGTCCTGCAGCCTTACATGCAGCATCGCATGGCCGGGCCACCTACACCCACTCCGGCCATTAGCACCCCGCAGCATTATCAAAGCATGCAGGTCCCTGTGGAGGTTCTTAAGGTCAGTAGGGATACAGCAGATGCTTTTTATTACTGATTATCTTTTTATTTTTGTTCTCAACTGATTTCTTATATGACAAATTGCTCAGCTGGCCAAAGAAATTTTGGAAAAAATGCCCATCACAATTCCCCAGAGCCAGGGTGATGTCTTTAGTTATCTTTGTTTGTCAATAAATCAAAAATAATGAATTCACAGTGATATGAAAATGGAGAAAAGGAGCAAATGCTTAGTTTTGACCAGCAAATGTTTGTCATTTTTGCTTGATAAATGACTTGAAAAATGATGGTACAATTGTTTTTTTCCTGTTCATATACTGATCGCTTAATTATGTTGTATATAAACATATGTATATACTTATTATATTAATGTGTGAATGTACTGATTTTGCAATGCATGACCGATACATAATCTGTTGAGAGGGCAGTATTTTGGCAGGAAAAGAACAAAAACTTGAACAACTGGGGATTTGTGGTTTGATCCGTTATCCACTGAACACAGAATCTTTCTAGATACTCTAATTTTTTAGACTTGGATTGGACCACCATGCAGTCTGTGGGAATAAAATAATGAGTGTAATAGGGAAATCTTTGTGACTCACGTCAGGTCAAAATTCAACCCCGCTAAACAGATTTGAGCGAGGGGCTTGATGGAAGAAAGAAAGATGTTGGTTAAGGGGGGGGGGGGGTTCAAAAGGGGCTGCTGCACTTATGTTAATCCACTCACATGTTGCTGAGAAGGAGACAGGATAGGAGGGGAGCAGCAGAGACCTCACTGGACGTCACAGCCTCTCACACAGCAGCACTGCCACACATGAAAAAATCAGGGGACGAATTTGAAAAAGGCAAAGAGAGAAAAATGCAGTGGAGCAGCAAGCAGGTAGGGAGACAGAAGAGGGAGGAGGAGCGGTAGATAAGAGAGGTTTGACATGTTTCGTGATAGGACAGACAGGAGTGATGTAGATAGTCTGAGTCAGACAGGGACAGATAAAGCTGAAGTGACATTTTACCCGATTCCAAAGATGCCTGTGCATGTCCTTATCTTTTATGGTGTATTTTTGTGTGTGTGTATATGGGTTTGTGCAATACATCATTATGTGCTTGTGTGTGTTGCTTTATGGTATTTGAGACCATCAATCTACAGTTTGTATGCACTGATAACTCTGTGGGGCAACTTGATGTATTGACAGTTTACTCTGTGTGCATGCATGTGTGTGTGGGTGTTTGTGTGGAATGGTGTTTATGAAATCTCAGTGTTTAGACTTGTCAGTGTCTTTGCCTTTCATGGCGTAGATAAGATGAGCTGTCTGTCCATCAGGCCCATCGAGGCTGTCATACTTCCTGCGCTGTATTTTCCCAGACTTCATCTGTGCTGACAGAGCTGGGCCAGATGGGTCAAATACTTATGACTGGATACTTGTCCCTTTCCCTTATGAGACCCAGTCTACTGACAACCAATCGTGTATTTATCCAAAGTGTCAACATTTGCTCTTAAATAAAAACATATGCATATACACAGTAGACAGAAAAAGTAGGAATATGAAGTTATTGCAAAGTTTCTGCTTCAGATATAATCTGGCTGGGGGTTTGGAGGGCAGAGGAGTTGAATCTTTTCTCTGTAGTAATGCGGAGCAGTCCTGCTCTCTACTGAGCTTTACTCTTTGATGTGAAGGAATGAGGCCGGCCCACTGCTCTTTGTAGCCACACCAGAGGAATTATTGTGGCTTTACCCCTGTAGGCACTACCACTCACTTAATGCTTCCGTGCCCCAGTCTCATCACTGGGTTAAGGGACAGGGATAAACGAGTGTGTACATCTGAATACTCAATGTGTTGTTATGTCTTTAAATGACAGTGAGCAAATAGCTTGTAAAGTACTCTAAATGTGTGTATAATTTAAAATATAATTCTGATGATAGCCCTGTGGGTATTGATGAGCAGGTACCATTATTTGTTTTGTTTTTTTTTCCACTTGGGACTTGAGTTGTGCCAGAGAGAAAAACATGCTGAAATCTTTTCTAAAAGTAATGTTTGCAAAGCATTGATTTCAAGCATAAAATGATGCAATTGATGGCCTTCATATAAATGCTAGTGCTACTATAACCTGACTTACACAAGCAGCCTTAGCTATAAGAATAAGAATACCTGAATTGGATGTTTTTCAAAACATAATGAATGTTTTTTACACACTGTATTGTAGATGTTTTTTATTATTAAATCCTTTATTTAAACTGATAGTCATTGAGATCGAGATCTCTTTTCAAGAGAGACCTGTGCACAAAAATAGATATATACAATTTATACATTTGCAGAGACACACATGATATGATGATAGTCTGACTTATAGATGAATTGGTTTATTGTCCTCTGTGACAGGTTTTTTAGGTTTTTACATCTCCCAGCTTAAGTTTGTTTTTGCTCAGTCATATTAAAACCCCTGTAATATTTGTGACTATATAACTTATAGGCTGACAGTCCCTGTATTAAAAGAACTGTCTATAACCTGTATGTTCTACCTCCACCAAACCAGTCATCAAAAATAAATCATTAACAGAATCAACAATGAGTTGGATCAGTTGGATTGGATGTGCAAAATTAATAATGGAATAAGAATTGATCAGGTATTTTTCCTGTCCATCATTCATACAGGTACAGACCCACCTGGAGAATCCTACAGACTACCACATCCGTCAGTCTCGGAGGCAACAGGTGAAAGAATACCTGTCTACCACCTTTGCCACCAAACAGGTACCTGTCTGGATGCCTTTACCCAGTAATGTATCGGTTAATGCTTGTCTGTCTCATTAGATCAGCTCTGTGTATAAATGGTCTGTCCCGTTTTTGTCTGGTTTGTCAACAAAGCACATGCAGTATTCAGTGCTACTATGTCCGCACTCAGTCAGTCATTAACACCATCATCACCCCTCTTTGTCTCCCTCTCTCTGTCATTAGACGGTCCAAGCAGTAGCAGGGCTGATTCCACCCTCTCCTCCCACAAACATGGGACCCACAGGGGGTTCAGCGTCTGCGCCCCCACCCCTCCAGTCCCCACACATGCGCACCGAGCAGCTCATGTCTGGCAACAGTGCACCCAACAGCCCCATGGCCATGCTCAACATCGGCTCCAGCCATGAGAATGAGGTAGACGCCTGCAAGTCTGGGTGGACAGTGGCATAAACGTTTATTCCTGCTCATGTTATAAAGTACACTTTACAAGAACCAGATTGAACAAATATCCCTAAAATATGACTTAATTATACTCTATATAAAATTATGAGGATTGAATATTACCCCCAAAGTGACATTATCGCTACATTTTATGAAAGCATCATAATGATTTAATTGGTCTTTGGTAGGCTGGAGAAGCGTTTGTAAATGCACTGGTGTTAATGTGTTGTGCGTACAGTAGGCATGTGGATGAATGTGTTGACTAACTTGCAATAACTGACTCTGGCTATCATTGGAATTTAAACGCTCCATTATGGCCTTGCAGCAGTAATTACAGCTTAACAAGTGACAGAGAAACTGCAGAATGTAAGGCCCTTTGAACCTGACAGACTTTGACCAACTCTCCTCCTCCGACGCTCGACCTCACTTCTTTCTCTGCCTCAAAGAAAATTGTTTTACCAGTTAGCCTCCATGACATAGAAGTCATCTTTTCTCTTGAGCGCCTGCACCTGCAGGCAAGTCCCTGTGGAGGCCTACATGCCATCAAATTTCAGATGCTTTAATACACGTATGAGCAGTGAAAGTGTTTTCCATGTGGTGTCTTCTTAACATTCAGATTGGAAAGTAGGTGCCGTCCCTGCTTTAAAATGAGACATTGTGGTTCATGAAGCTTTTCAAAACCACATAGATAACACTGCCCTGTTTTTTTTCAGATGGATGAGGTCATTGATGACATCATCAGCATGCAATCCAATTATGATGATATCCAGGCATACATTGACCCTGTCCAGATGCCCAACACAGTAAGTAGTGCCAAAACAGAAGAGCCGAACACACCTTGAGGTGCACTTTTAGGAACACTTCAGATTTATTGTCTTTTATATGACAAATGTACTTTGTATCCAGCTGGCTCCTATTTCTGTCATATGGTTTAGTTTGATTATCACCATAGATTTTATGCATAGGCAGCAGCTTATGTGTCTTAGGAAATCTAAGTCTAAATCGAAAATGATCTTTTCCTTTGAAGAATACTGTAAAAATATGTATTTTAAGATAAATTTAAAATAAGTATTCAGGTAAATTATTGATGGAAGATTATTCTGATGGTAGTGTCCAGTACAGTTAAATATTGGAGATAAATATTGATTTATGTTGTTATTCACCTTATCAAAAACATTTTCAATATAAAATATATAAAATATACTGATTGATAATGACTAACTTGCAGATATTTTAACTTGTTCTAAGGAAAGTAATATTTTTAAGACTTAGTAATAGGCAAATTACATAATTAAAGAAACATTTTATGCTTTGTACTGTTTGGTTGATAGTATAAATTATTAGGAATACATAACAAATCTTAATGTAATATATCATATGCATGCATGTTTTATATAGGTTTGCAAGGGTGTACACCATTAACGCATCAACCTTAAAATACAACACTAGAATTCCCAAATGTTGTATTGTCTGAATATGTAGTTCTCTGAAACCCTCATCGACTTCAGTGCTTATTTTGGATATGCTGAGTCATCAGTGCTCAGACTTTGGCTTTTCAGCAGATCCTATAACCACTGCTGCATCTATATAGTCTCCCTCCTCATTTAATGTCAGTGTTCCTACTTTGTGTTGCTGTTATTAGGGACGTTGATGGTGTTCGTACAGTTGTTAGTCTTGTTAAACCACTGTTTTCAGCTGTTGCTCTAAACTTGCTCTCTTGGTTGTCAGTCTCTGGTAGCATGTTCCATTGGAAGAAACAGGTTAAGTCTTTATGCACTCATATACACAAACACATACACACATGCAAAAGTATATAATTAACTTAGACCCTAAACATTCCATCCCTAAACCATGTTGGACACAGTTAGAAACTGTAGGGAAGGCATGTTAGATGAGGACTGTACAACGCTTTGTGTTTGAGGGAACAAACTCAGAAAATTAACAATTAAACTGCCAGCAGTTAGAGATCAACTTGTTTACAAGACATTCGGAGAGAGAGGGAGGTGGAGAAGGAGAGAGGGGAGGAAAAGAAGGGAGGAGGGAAAGGGGGATGAGGGCAATTTGTGCAAAGGGAAAACAGGCTGAAAGTCCAGTTAGGGGAAAGTTCATTCTTGTTTGGTGGGGAACAGAGGTAGAAGAAAGACGGCATCGGTGCTGCTGAGGTCATTCTCCGGGGACTGGGGCAACAGTGCCAGAGAGAGAGCTGCGTGTGCTGCTTGTGCCTGCAAGTGAAGAAGAAAGAGCACCGACCAGGCAAGGGAAGGAGTAGAGGATGAAGGAGATGAGTAAGACGTATGCCATTGTGGAAGTTATTGAAGGAGAACAGATTCAGCTGGTAAGACAATGAAATGCTGTTGTTTGTAAAACTGCTAAATGTGAGCTTTGGTTGGTGTTGTAGGAGTTGGCTTCCATTCACAATTTGGACTGATGCAGTGGCAGCTCTAACTCCCAGCCTCGGGTCTCTGATTATAAGATGAGCCATGGCAGGGGCAGTGGGGTGGAGGTTCCGTTTTTTCATGTTTGTGTGTGGATGGGTGTTACTGCACTGGAATCAGGATTTTGTCCCGGGTTTGAGTTGATGTTGACGATCATGTTGGGGTCTACCCTGCTGCAACCACTTTGTGTGGTCTGGCACACTGCTTCTCAGCTCTTTCTCTATATATATGTGTGTGTCTGTGTGTGCGTGTGTGTGTGTGTGTGTGTGTGTGTGTGTGTGTGTGTGTGTGTGTGTGTGTGAGAGAGAGAGAGAGCTTTATCTGATAATATGCCCTCTATGGTTGATTGGGTTAATCAGTGTGAGTGTGTCTACATGCATGTGTTTGTGTGTGTGCATGTAAAACATCAGACTGATTAGATTAGGAGATTGATCAACTCTGAGGATGATCAGTGTGTGTGGAGCTAGCACAATGGATTTAACTGAGACAGAAACTCAAACCAGAGCTCAAATGTTAATAGGGCTGCATTTACAGGACATATTACTGATGCTTTGTACAGTTTGATATGTAGAAGTGTTCTATGTTCAACCACACTGGAAACAATACTCAGAGCCTGACTCCCAACTGACAGAGCAGTGAGTAAAACTCACCTGCTAATCCTGATGCGGATTAAAGCAGCAAACTCCAAGGAATTCTTGGAATCTCAAAGTTTAGTAAAAGCCGGGAACACCACTGAATACCAGGCACAAGTGAGCAGCTCCACCCTTAAAGGTGTGTGTGTGTGTGTGTGTGTGCGTGTGTGTGCGTGTGTGTGTGTGTGTGTGTGTGTGTGTGTGTGTGTGTGTATTGATGGTTACACTGAGCCATACTGAGTCCCAGTCATGCTTGCTTGTTCAATTGAGTTTTGATGGTTTGGTGAGAGGCAGCCTGCCCAGGCAGGACGTGGAGGAGGCTGGGAAATAGAGTTTTGCTGATAGAGTGTGTTTTTGAGTTTTGTATTGTCATCAGAAAACATGAAACAAGCATAACGGGGTGAATCATTGTATTGTTTTTATATGGGATTCTGTCACTTATCTTGATGCACATAATATCTACAACAGTTGCTAAGTCACATTTTTCTACAAATGATGTTTGAAGTATTCAAGAATGTCGTTTGAAAACCACAGCTCCTGTTCCCATTCAGTCCAATGTTATTAAGATCAATTGGATTGTTTAAGATGTTATTTTTCACACTTAAACGGCGTAACATGCAACGTAGTGTATCAATATTGGAAGATCTGGTTACTGCAAAATCACACAATATAATTTCTCTGACAGCATATAATTTACAAACAAAAGTCAACCTGCAGATGTCTGTGTGTGTACTTATGTGTGTGAGTGTGTTTGATCTCAAAACTCACACAGTAGCCAGCAGATAAGGTATCTTTTCCTTTGAGTTCTTTATCTTGCAGGCCTCATTAGCAGCGTCACATTTGCCCTCGCTTCAGGGAGTACGACACGGTTGGCAACAAGGGATAAAAAGTCTATCGCACTCATTAAACCATACAATTAAAAAGAAATCATGTCTTTTTAGGAGTCTATACAAAACTTAATTACAGCCGTTGCACAACGTCTAAAGTGCAAGAGTTAGGAGACCTCTCCAGAAGTTCAGAGGCAGGAGAAGGCACAGGAGAGAATCAAGCCATAAAGAGAGATAAGACAGATAGCATGATAGTCAATCATTGCTGCGTGTTTGGCAGGCCACTCTCAGGTGTGATATTATTGCATTATCTCCTGCTATCTGCTCTTTACAGCACACTAAACATGAACACTGACTTTATAAAGGTGCTCACCAGGGTGTGTGGAGCTGTAAATGGGTCGTCTACGAAACGGAGAGAAACGATTTGGATTTAACACCAGTTTGACCCAAGTTTAACTCATGTCAGATTTTATATTTTTATTACTTTTTTAATTTGATGAAGTTCATCATTCAGTCTTCTCATATCATGGTTAAATCAGAAGTAAAGTCACTGCATAGAGGCAGATCAATGCCTTTCCACTTTCCTTGCTCCTTTTTATTTGTATCACAGGGGTCAATGAGCTGCAGTTGTGTAGAATTTTTTTAATTGATCAAAGTAAATGTCGTGTAGATTTTTTTCTAAATGTGTGTATTTGTTGTGTACATGTGTGTCTGTTTGCATGTGTCCCCAGCTCCCTCTGTCTAGCAGTCACCTAGATGTGTATACAGGACCTGGGATGAAGGGGCCAGCTATTGGTATGACCAGTAACTCCTGTCCTGCCAACCTGACCATCAAACGAGAACTGTCAGGTGCGGAAGTCGAAGTTTTAACCTTATAGTAACAACTATTAAGATGTTATACAAGTTATACAGAAGTTTGTCACTGAGTGGATCTAAAACTTTTGCTTCTACCTTGTCCCGTATATTAATGTTGTGGTGCAAACTGTTGAAAAACTGCTTCTGTTGAGCACAGTTTCAGCCATTAGTTAATCACTTTTTGTTATTGCAAAGACACAGAAGCCCGTGCACTGGCCAAGGAGAGACAGAAGAAAGACAACCACAATCTGAGTAAGTCTTTCCCTCTGCGTGCTCTTTGCTCAAGTTCTCTACCTCCTTTCGTGTTTCTCACCCCAACATTATACGTGGACTTAGAAATGTACGAAGAGACAGACACGTGCGCACACACATATACACGCGCACACACACACACACATACATACGCACACACATACACACACACACACGCACAATAATCTGTAATCTGTCTCTTGCAAAAACAGTTTTATACATCCCTGCACTGATTTAGCTGACATAGTGCAACCAGTGGGTGGATGGTTAACCTGATCGTTTCTGCTGTTCTGGCACTTAAGTGTAATTGCCTGTGACACTGTGTGTGTGTGTGTGTGTGTGTGTGTGTGTGTGTGTGTGTGTGTTCGTTTGTGCCTGAACATTTGTCCCTTATTGCCCTTTACTGTATATTTCCAGTATACACTGATCTGTACTTTCGTTATATGCACTACATTGCCAGCTGCCCGTCACTGTCACTGTTTGTCGATGCTGTACATACTTGAAAATTAGATTCCAAAGGCCACAGCCTGTCTTGCACAAATTATCTTTCATGCATTTGATTCCTCTGTACTATTGTCTTCATAATGTATTTTCCTTTATCTCTTCCCATTTTATCTCCCCCTCGTGTCTTCTTTCCTCTTTAATAGTTGAAAGGAGGAGGAGATTCAACATCAATGATCGTATCAAAGAGCTGGGCACCATGATCCCTAAAACCAATGACCTGTGAGTTGCTTTGCAGTGCTCTGTTTTCAGCATAGATGAAACTGTTGAATGAAATCAGTTACCATCAGTTATTCACGTGTGGAAATTGCCTGTGTGTACTTTACTGTGTGCATAGGGATGTGCGCTGGAACAAAGGCACTATATTGCGAGCATCTGTTGAGTACATCAAACGCATGCAGAAAGATGTGCAGAGGACCAGAGAGGTGGAAAACAACTTCAAAAGGATGGAGATGGCCAACAAGCAGCTGATGCTACGCATCCAGGTAACACACCCACACACACACACGCAGAAACACACAAACACAGCAAATACACTTATAGTGATGATGTTGCCCTCTGCCCACTGTGTATAGGAGTTGGAGATGCAGGCTCATCTGCATGGTCTGCCCAGCAACTCTCCCTCTGGCCTGAACCCAACTGACCTGATGGCTCCTTATATAAAACAAGAGACCAGCCCAGAGGAGAAGCTTTCTCACCCCCAGATACAAGCCCACCACCAGCCCCAGCACCTACCCCAGAACCAGGCTCAGCCCCACCAGCACCACTTCCTCCCGCAAAACCACCTCCAACCTCAGGGCCAGGCTCAGCCTCAGCCCAGGCAGCTGCCACCGCTCCCCCAACACCTCCAGCCTCAGCCACCCATTCAGTTCCCAGCTGTAGGCAGCTCCCAGCCCTTTGACTATGCCCAGTCGCTGGACTTGTGCGATGGGATTCCCGGCTTCTCAGACAGCATGTCGGGCCTGGCTGACCTGGGTGGACTGGACGTCCATGGGAGGAGAGGCGAGCTGGGCTTCCTGATGATGGACGAGCCCTTGTCCCCAATGGGCGGAGACCCGCTGCTCTCTGCAATGTCCCCTGAAGCCTCGGTCGACTCGAGCCGCAGATCCAGCTTCAGCATAGAGGATGGAGACATACTGTAGACATATGCATACACACATGCATTCATACAAGCACACGCGTGCACATGCAGAGGTTTCACAGAAGGTGCAGTAAACATGCAAACAGCTTGAAAAGTGACAGTTCATCAACGCAAACTCTTGACACATGTACAGCACATACAACAGAAAGAAATCAGCCACAAAGACATCACATCAGCACAAACCCACAACATGCTGCACATACTATACACATCACGCAATTTGAACACACACCAACGACACTCATTTGTGGTACAACTATCTGTTAATGGTACAAGCAACAGAAGGTGTTCAGTTCTCACACAGCTGAAAACATTGTGTATAGTGCAGCCATCTGCGCGCACACACACACACAAGTGTGTGTTAGATAACCTGAGCAGCTTGAAACTTTGCCCAACAGACTGAGCGTTTACAAGGGGTGAACCAACACTGCCAGGTCAGGAGTTATATAGCGCACTTGGCCTTGTTTCCATAAAGGTGGCCCTGAATGATAATTGAACAAGGGACAAAAACCAGCAGTTAATTAGATTGAAGTTATCAGATACAAGGACAACCGAGCGCATTGTCTCACTCGATAGAGGACAAGTTATTTTCCCCTTTACATCAGCCTCTTTTAGTAACCATAAATGATTGAATGAACGATAGTGCATAAAATGAAAGTAGCTTTATGGTCCTGCATGCATAATTTATCTTAAGGGGGATGCCGTCCGTTCACATCGTTCATTTCCTCAATCTGTTATTCCACAGTTTTCTTTCGCCATAAGCGCTAGCTGTTTGGTGTCTGACAAAGATCTGTTTTCATTTATTGTATCTATCCCACTTATAGATAGAACTGGTGTCTCCTCATGAACACGTACACATGCACACATGCACACACACACACACTGCTGTCCCTCAGTTTCTCCACCTTTAACATTTTACACTCGTGACATTTATCCACAAGCTCTGTAAAGTGTATGTTGACTTTGGAAAGAGAGTAAAGAAAGAAAACCGTTTAATGGTCTTCAAAAAACAGTGTCATCCAACTCTATGAGGTGTCAAAATACTCAGGTACTGTAACAGAATACACAAGAAGGATCGTTTTTAAGTAGAAGCAGATGATAACCTGAACTGTGTCACGGCCGTAACCCCTATCAATGTGCCTTTTGATTATTGCAGCTGCTGCTCCTCAAAGGTATATTTTCATAGGTTAGAGGTCATGACCAGGGTTTAGACTTAATATCAAGTTCAGTTATGCCTGTAAATGCTTTAGAGTTTGCTTCTGTACCAGCTACACCCTTATTAATGTCAGAGATAAACAGTAAATGTTTCTCTCACTCAGTGACTTTGAAGGGCTTATACCAGAGGCCCAGTTGAATGAAAGATTGAGTGACAGGGTTTGTTACTGCAGAGAGAGCGAGAGAGAGCGAGAGAGAGCGAGAGAGAGCGAGAGAGAGCGAGAGAGAGCGAGAGAGAGCAAGAGAGAGCGAGAGAGTGAGAGAGAGATAGTCAGTCCTAGCTGACAGCAGCAGCAGCAGTAGTTGTAGTAGTTGTCTTCACACAGTTGCATGCATTCACACTCACATTCGGTTCACAGACAGGCAAGCTAGATGCCCGCCCAGTACACACACATGCATTATAGTGCTCACACACATACATACACATACATACAGTGCGGTGTGCCTTGAGGCTGTTTTCAAATCAGCACATTAACAAGTCTCCTGTGCTTCAGTCTCTCCCCTGATGAGTCGGGGGAAGCTGCCAGCTGCAGAGGTAAATCACAGGCCTGCTGTTCAAGCTGCCACGTAAAGGGAACCTGTTCTCCCACTGGCTACTGCTGTCAATGCAGTGGCTAGGGCAGGTTGAGTTGTACCTGAGTTGTATCTCTGCTGTGGTGAACCTGGGGCTTGGCTTTGATTTGATATAGCTTATGATCAGTACTGATAAAGGTAGAAAAAAAACTTTGATGGTGATTTTTTTGATTAAAAGAAGTGTTTGTTTTCTTTATTATAGTTTGTTGTTTATTTTATCTCCCAAAGCACTGGAAACTATATTATTGTTTTGACTTTGTACATTGAAGAATTATGAAATAAGATTTATTTCAGATATTTTATGCCACTAAGCCACTTAAATGTATTTTATTTGTATTTGTTGTTTTAGTTTTATTTCAGTTTTATTCCGAACCTACCCTTTCTTTTCAAAGCCATTTTCAAGTACACTGTAAAGACATTTATGCCACTAATGTTTCATTGGGGAAGGAGTGGGCAGCCATTTATAAACTTCCAGATTTCAAGTGACTTTGGAGAGATGAAGAGATTATGTACATTTATAATGCCATTTTTATATGATTGGGATTTTATTTTTCTCTCTGTTTTAACATTGAAATTTGGAGCCAGACATAGATGAAAGGTGATTTTTTTTTTTTTTTTGATTTGATTAAATTCAAATTACTCATTTTATGAATGTAAGGTTTACCAGTGGTTCTGGTCAGATTGAAGCAGGCTGGCATTTTCGCCATACCTCCTTCCTCCCTGACTTTGGTTTCCTTGGAGACCGTAAAACGACTGACTTCACATAAACTCTGAGCCGAGGAGTTGTGGTTGCCATGGTGTTGTATCACTGACTCTACGTTAGCTTCTGTCTGTCTGCCAGAGTTGTGCCTTTTCCCGATCAGCCACAGTTTGACTATTGTACTGTCACCCAACCAACACTCCAAAGAGCTGCTCAGGCCTCCTCTACTCTTCCACTAGAGGGCGCTCTGCGGAGCAAACTACACAGGGAAAAGTGGTTCAAATTTTACTGAGAATATAAAATGTTTTACCAGAAAACATTCGCTGGCTTTTTGTGTTTTCTTTTTTCCTTTATTGATGTGACTTGTGTGTGTGTGTGTGTCTGAATGTGTGTGTGACTGTATGTTGGGGACAAAAATCTGGTCCCCACAAGGTCCCCTGAAGTATGATACTGGAAAGATGTTTTCACATCTGTCTGCTGAAGAGGGAACGTTTCTCTGTTCTCACCTTAAACTTCAGATTGACAATTACCTACAAGAGCATTTAATGACATCACAACTAGTATGGAAGCCAGTCGATGTCCAATATGCAACTTAAGCAAGTGTGATGTTGAAACTATAAACCTCAAGTGCACTTGCACTGATTAAAAGACCTCTTGTGTCTATTAGTTAAACTTTTGAAATGAACAATATTACAACAATACATATCCATAGAAAGTGAATTTTTCAATGCAGGAGAAGGGGTTGATATAGTTTTACAATTGAGACACAGATTTAGATTTAAAAGTTAGATTTGCTGTTAGTCTCTGGGGAAAGAATGCAACAATGCAACATCCTCCTGAATGAAAAAAAAAATTGTAGCAGATTAGATAAACCCTCTAAATTTTTATTATATTATATGTCCACCAGGGGGCACCAGTGATCTATATTGCAGAAGATGATGCTAGTGTTTCCTTTTAACTCGCTTCTGTGATTTTACTGTCACAGCAGTCACAGAGGTACAGTTGACCTCTTTTAAATGATAAAGAACCTAATCTCACTTTTTCTTTTTCACAAATGGTTGAGTGATGCACGGCACATTTTTTTGTACAGAAAAACGGCAACAACTGCTGGGCACATTGCTGTTTTTGTTTTGCCCTGGTGAATTAAACCTTTTTAGTAGATCCCAGCATAGCAGGGCAGCATTCCCAGTTCACACCCTCAATGAGAAAATATAAAGGTCTTGACAAATGAAGTTTATTGATGCCAGTTTAATCACCATATTTTATCAGAGGTAGAGGCCTTCACATTTCACCTGCCTGCTTCTTTTGTCGGCCTCTTTTCTCCTCTTTTGCAGGTCGTTCCATCATCTCCTGATGTATTAGTCCACGGCTGCTTCAGGATGATCCATAAACCGTTTAACAGCCTTTCTTAAGTTAAATCGGGGTAATCTTATTCCTCATCCACACACACACACACACACACACACACACACACAGACACACACACACTCTGACTGATGCCGCAGAGCATGTTAAAGTGTAGTGGTGGTGTCTGCAGCCCATCCACAGGCCCATTCTCCTGGGTCTTTATGATGCTAATGTACTCCCCAGTCTAATAAATCCCTGTAGAGCTGCAAAGAGTAGATCTTATGGCTCACTCCGATCACCACCTTTTCGCCCATCTCCCCCCCAACACACATTACCGCAGCAGAAGTGCCTGCCTTGCACTTCCACAGATACTTGGGTGGCTGTTTAGTAAGAAGGGGAGAGGGGAAGGGTTGAGACAAATCAAACATGAAGGTGCAATTTAAGAGATGCTGGCACGCGAACGCAGAGTCTGGCCCTGGCATAGTGTGCGCCGGGGGGTGGAGTGCATGGAGACACACTGAGAAACTCTCATCACCTCTTTTTCTGATGGTTGGGCCTCTTGAAGTGGGTTTGGCACGGCACCTTGAGAACCACCGCGCCTTGCAGAGAGGTGAAGAAGGGGGAAAAGTAAAATAATCACACAGGGGTTTCTCTTAGTGTTCAACAAGCAGCGAACAAGGAGCTCCATTCAGAGCTGCGGATGGATCCTCTATCGGGAGCGGGAAGAAATGACGCCTCATTCTCTACTCCAACCAGTCCCGCTTTTCATCCTTCCTCCTTCTCACCCCATCTTCTCCCTTTACCTGTTCCCCTCCTCCCCCTCTACTATAGTCTTCTTCTGGCTGCTGGGCTTAGTTTGTGTATGTGTGTGTGTGTGTGTGTGTGTGTGTCTGTGTGTGTATAAGTCCTTCCTCCCTCCTTCCCAGGGGAGCAGTGTGTCACTCAGCTTGAAGCCCACGGAAGTAAGGTGAAAGGGGGCTGATTGAGCTAATTTAGCCCCTGGATGTGAGAGCAGGAAAGGCCTCACCCTCTGCTAATAGACAGACATCAAAATGGAGATGAGGGGAGGGAGGTTGGGTGAAAGGAGAGGAGGGAGGGAGGACTATAAAACCGAGACGACTTTTTGATGGATTTATCTCTTTTTGTTTGAGGGGATGTTGAGAAAACTTTTATGAACACTGTGTGACATTGTGAAGTTGGTAAAGGTTTATGCGTGTTGCCTTGAATTAAAGCCTGCTGATATTACTTATTGATCCGTCCTCCTCCATTAAGATACCGTCAATCTCAGCCTGCTTTATGATCTCCCCAGCCCTGGCCACTCACCGTACATCCTCCCTGACAGGCAGACTGGAACTCACACCACAAATACTGGCTTTTACCACATGAATGGAAATTTGGACACTTTTTATAGCTTCTGCAGGCATACATACTCCTGTAGGAACCGATGGCCCGCTATCAAAAAGCCTCTAATGAAGATGGCACGATGACACAACATTGATTTTAGATCCATAAATCATCAACACTGCAGATTAAAGTTTGTCCTAAAGTTTTTGGTCCACCTCTGACACACGGATGTCTTCTTGTCTACTTTGGATGTCTCCAAAGTTTTTTCACAAGATTTTGGCAGTCCTCAACTTGTTTCTTTACATACATGTGTTTCCAGTCAGAACCCTGCTCAGTTAATCTATATTGGAGCTCAGTTCAGTGTTAAAAAGGTTTGATTAAAGGCTGTCACACAGGGTAAAAGTGGCATCCCTCTGAAAGGTCGAAACTGAGAGCTCACAAACACCCATCACACAGGCAAAGCCACCACTCCTTCCTCTCTCTTTTCCTCACAGTCTCTCACTAACTAACTTGGTCACACCACCATACCTCCTGTCCTTCTTCATTCCCACCTCTGCTGCCCCTCTTTATTCTGCCGCTCCTTTGTCCATCTTCCTCTACATATTTAATACTCTTCGCTGACTCCTCTCAACCCCTTGTGCCTCTATTCCTGAAAGAAAAGGAGCTCAAATTGGCTGGAGAGATGAATAATGTCCCCGCCATTAACAGTGGCATGGCCGGATCAGTCTTTTCATGTGTGTGGAGGTGGAGAGATGAGCTGCAGGAGCGGTAAGGACTGGGTGACAGCGGTGGTGGGGAGGGCTGTGGGGTCTTTATCGTTCTCTCTAACTTTGCTCAGGCTGCAGCAGAGGAAGAAGCAGAAGTGAGAGGATGAGTGACTTGTATGGAGATTTATTATATATACTATAACCTGCAGAGAGTCTGATAGTGGTTGAGAAAAGCGTGGTAGTTTTGGTTTATGTGTGTACATGCATATAAGCTGAAAGTCACAAATACACATGCAGGTGTACAGCAGCAAGTTCAGTTTTAAAAATCAAAAAAACAACTGAGGCTTTGACTTTTTTGTTCTTTTGAAACAGGCATAGAAAGCACACTTTGTGAAAGCTATGATTAAGGTTTTCCCTCCAACATCATGAAAAATAAATTAGAAATCAGTTCAGCGTTGCTTCTTTATGGATGAAATTCAATTTTACACCAAAATGAAGTCCATGTATCCTTGGTTCTTACAGTAATTTCTCCCCAGATGCTATTAAGGAGTGTTTTTCCTCCTAAATGGCCAGTAGGGGGAGTTAGTGGTCCACAACACAGTCTGGCGCAGCCACGACAGAAGACAAACAAGGCCTGACTGACATTTCTTAGCGCTCAAAATGAATATGTTGTTTGGAATTGCAGTGAATGTCAACCACTGACAGAAAGGGCATCTGGTGCAACCTCTGGAAAATTAAGACACGGTGTCGTTTCTAAATTCCACCGGCAGGCTGCCCGGGAAGAGGCAAACTGTTGTTTGGTTGTTTGAATGATCAAAGATGGATCACAAATTCTGTAACATCTTTTAGTATTGTGGGTTGGTCGGAGAGGTGTTAAATTAGGCTTATCATTAATAAGAGAAATAATGCTCCTGACATACAGTTTGTCACATTTTGAAGGTTATCCACTCCATCGTTTTCCTCGGCAGTTGATGGAGTGACTGTGAGAGTGATGAGTTCTGTATCATATCCTCAGCGAAGCTTTTTTTTTCAGACTTTATCTTGAGTGGGACCTCAAATGATGGACAACATTATCGTCCTTGACGACCAAAAAAGCCATGAAGATTACTGACTAACTAATGGTCTTGTGCACAGGATTCAACCGAGCCTAAGCTTCTGAGATCTATTTGTTCTTTTGCTGTGTTTGTTTCTGTATCTGCCAATCCATCCATCCATCCATCCATCCATCCACTCATCCATTCATCCATCCATCTTGCAAATCCTCTTCTCTTTCATTTGGTGTTGTTGTGAGTGAGAGGCTGCTTCAATGAACTTACAATCTGAAGGTCGCCAAGATCTGACTTTTATTTTTTCCATACCTCCCTGAAAAGCAGCATAGATTATACAGCCTACAGCTGTTATCACATTTATGCCCTTCTTCAAGCTTCTTTTTATTCTCATCCTCTCGTCTCGCGCCTTTCAGAGACCTGAAGATAACGGCACACAACATGACGCCATTGTCCTCCCTCTCTCGCTCGTAGGTGGAGATTTAAAGTTCTGTTTTAAAACTGCCACTGTTCCAATCCTACTTAACCCCCTCCCCCCCTCCTCCCCTTGTCTCCCTCCTTCCTCCTGAGTATACTACCTAACCCTTCTGAACTTCAGTCAGAGTTACTGAAGACCCGGAGTACACTAGGGAGTCAGCAACACTGCTGAGAGAGAGACAGAGATAGACAGAGACTTAGCTGCCTGCTATTCTACCACTCTCTCCGGTAATAAGAAAAGTTTCTGTTCTTTTCTGTGTTACAGCAGAGAGATAAAACTAGGGATCACTCACTCTCACAAGCACTTTTGTGCACACTCACACTTCCACACAAACACACACACACACACAGATATATATATATATATATACGTGTGCTCAGAAACTAACTCACACACA